TATACAGATAGGTCTCTTGTGATACAATAGTGAATAATTGTTATCAGGACTGACTGTGAGGGTTGGAAATGTAAAGGTAGACATTTTGTAGCAAAAGAAGGGGAGTTACTGACTTCGTAGTCTAGGAGCGGAGGTCCCTAGGACCATCAAGAGCTGGTACCCTACCCAGAGAAGCAGTGACACCAGAGATGGAGTCAAGGATGATGATGTGGAGAGATGGCGCGTTTGGGGACTCTAGACCCAGAGAGGGAGAGGGGCTGTTTGCTGACCGGGGCAGGCTTATAGTATCTACCCTTTGGGTGGTTGATGATGCATGGAGGGGATTGTAATCACGGCAATGAAATGATATAAGATAGGATGAATGTAAAGCCAATATTCTCCCATGTAAACTATCACATAATTCACAATAAAACATTAAAAAATAATAACAAATTACCCAAAACGACTTCCAAAAAAAAAAAGATCCCGATTAAGATTTTCCTATTTTCTCCTAATTTCCTCACAGCTAAATGCCCTTTTGGAGTCCTGGTGTGGTGCTATTACTGCACTGGACTACAAGGTCGATTTGAACCACAAGGTCAGCGGTTCAAATTAACCAGACACTCCTGGGAAACCCTATACAGGGTCACTATGAGTTGAAACTGACTTACTCAACAGGCACTTAACAATAACAACAAACACCCTTTTACAATACATGCACAAGGGTGGGGAACTTTTTTTCTGCCAAGGGCCATTTGGATATGTACATCACTGTAATATAAATTTATCTTGCTATGAAAAAATCTCCTAGATTTATTGAATTTCGAGTCCCACGTGCTGTTGCCTTGTCAGGGGCAGACCAAATGATTTAGCTGAGTAGTGTAGTGGTTACAAGTTGAGCTTCTAATCTATAGGTCAGCAGTTCAAAACTACTAGGTATTCCGCGGGAGGAAGATGAGGCTGAGTTGTCGTGTGGCGCTGTGGGTTAATGCAAAGCCATTTGAACTTCAAGATCGGCGGTTCAAGCTCACCAGCTGCTTCTCGGAAACCCTACACAGGGTCGCTATGGGTCGGAACCTGACTTGACGGCACTTAACAACAAAGATTTACAGCCTAGGAAACTCAATAGAGGGTCGCTATGGGCCGGAACCTACTCCACGGCACACCACCACCACCATACAGCCCTGGGCCGGACGTTTCCCATCCCTGAGTACACCCATGAAATATAACATCTTCCTTACCGCTCACCACTGAAGCAAGTGCGCTGTGGGCCTCCCCTTTCTCACCCGAAAAGTGGGGCCGCTGAAGCATGCTCTTTTGAGTACAAAAAATTCAGGATGTGACAACATCTTGAAGACCAATGAAACGCAACAAAGGTCGCTATTAAAATGAGAAAAACCACACCTATCCTTAATCGCGCCAACCTACACCTCCACCCTCCAGTCCAGTAGGATACTAAGCTAGCAAACGTGGAGGCGGGGCCCCTCCCGCGTGGGTGCGTCACCGCTGCCATGGAGACGTCTTCAGGTCCCGCCCCCTCCAACCCCTTGTGTCACGTCCACAGACCGACGCGCAGGGCCCCTCTAGGATGCAGAGGAGGTCCGACCTTGGTGATCTTAACCCCCTTCTCTCCGATGGGTAGCTCGGCTTCGCTGGAGCCGCTGCAGGATTTTGGTGCACAAGGCTGAAGTAGGCATTCAGAGGATGGGAGTAAAAGGGAGAGCTCTGGGACGCTGGTTGAGTCTCAGATTCTTGAAAGATCAGAAAGAGGGAATGGGAAAGCGAAGATTCTTGAAAGATTAGGAAAAAGGGAATGGGGGAGCGAAGCAAATAGGCTGGAGAGGAATAGGAGTGGAGAGAAGGAAAGGAGGTGGAGCGTAAACTTGAGAAAAGAGAAAGACGCTGAGAATGGGAAAGTGATAGTGGATTCCAAAGGCTCTAGCTACTGAGAGACTTGAATGGCCGTTTAGGGGGGCATTCCTAGATTGTGAAAGGGAACGCAGACTGGAAGGGAGAAGGGATGAATTAAAGAGGAATTTCTACTAGCCGTGATGGAGTCGGTGAAATGGACGTTTTTCTTCCTTGGATGCTCTTAGCTGTTGTTGTTAAGTACCGTCCAGTCGGTTCCAATTTATAGCAACCTGTATAGGATTTCCGAGATGCTGCTGGTAAGTTTGAACCGCCGACTTTGCCTTTGGAACCTACCTTATGGTCGATTGCTTATCCTACAGCGCCACACCAAGACTTCTTGAATGCTCTGGACTCCAATTAGAATAATACGCTTAAAGGCGTCTCTCTCTGTCTGCTGACATCTACAGTCATGATCCAGAGAGATCAATTCATCTTCGAAATTTTGAGGTTACCACTTCACCCTCCAACTACTTATACCCTTCTTATGGAGGGAGAGGTTTTTGTGGGGTTTTTAATGTTTTATTGTGAATTATGCGATAGTTTACATGGGATAACATTAGCTTTACATTCATCCTATTGTACATCGTTTCATTGCCATGGTTACAGTCCCCTCCATGCATCATCAACCAATCAACGA